GCCGCGACACTACTCGCGCCACGGCAGACTCTTTCTTCGCGCTGCGGCAGGCGTCGCGCCGCGACCTCTCACATATATATATGTACTTCGCGTACTCTGCCTTCAGAATTCCTCTCCCACAGCAAAGCCCTAGCCACCGACAACCTCCTCTCCTACCGCATACACTCCGGCCTGTCACCACTCCGACCGACGAACTCCGGCCACCGCGCAATCACCTCAGCACCCTTAACCTTCGGCGACCATCCATCTCCGACCAACTCTCCCCTCCAGCAGAAATCACTCCAAAGGCAAACGCGGGATTACGAAATTTTTCAATCCAGCTCTTTAAATCCGGTCGTCTACTGAGCTTTAAGGTCCGAGAAATCATTTACTCGTTCAAACAGTGATTGAGGTATTGAAATTCTGGCACTATCTCTGTGGAATTGGTTACAAGCTTCCTTAGGCAATTTCTGCGCTCCAAGTGTTCGATAAATTGTTTCAACAGGCAAAGAAGCAAGTCGAGTCGCATTCAGTCCTTTCTATCCAACATATCAATATGGTGAAAACAAGGAATGCAACGAAAGCCCCTTCCACGAGCAGAGGCACATGCAAGGCCGTCATAACAACTCCGCCCGAGTCATCGGGTAACTCACACAACTCGGACTCCGATTCGAGGGAAGAGATCCCCACCTTGGCCTAAACTCACGGCATTCTGTTTCTGGTTTTCAATGACTCCGAGGTGGCCACATATAAGCGACTTGCCGCAAGACCTATACCTAAGCCCCGAGTACTCGACTGGGCATTGTTGAAGCATTATAAAATCGAGGATGCCGTCCGCACGTACTTGAAAGAACTTCACCTGGAGAAATATACGGACATGGATAATTTGACCGCCTTCCGATCACTAGCCCTCGAGTGCTTTAGCACGATTCAGATGCATGACAATAGCAACTACCTAACTTGTCGTTTGAGCGGGAAGGAGATCAAAATTACGGATAAGGTTTTATGCCAGATTTATGGCTTGAAGATAACGGGTGCTCGTCAGAAACCCCAAAATTTCCAGGCTAACAGGCATTGGGCCGACTTATCACCATGCTCATTGTTTAATAGAAAGGGACCTTCTGCTGGTCTGATCAAGGAGCTACCCATCGCGATTGTGCATAAGTTCCTTTCTTACAACATTTTTGGGAAGAAAGAGGCGAATAAGGTCAGCGAACAAGAATTTTTTGTTATGTGGGCGATGTGCAAGAAGAAATCGATATGCCTGCTCCCGGTTCTCAAGAAAGCCCTTGTCGATACGCGTAATAGGTCAAAGAGCTACCCTACATTAGCTCATGTGGTTACAAAACTCAGTGACTACATCAAAATCCCCGCATCTACGGAGCAAGGAATCGGTGTTTCGGTCATTGGGTACGACGAACTTCGGACTGGAGGCTTTCGGAACAAAGGGCTCAAAATTATGCACTATTCAGAGCGTAAATGCTACGAGGTGTACTTACGGGAGAAGGAGTTGAAGAGAATGGCACAAGGAGAGGCTTCGTCGAAACAAGCCATGGGAGACCCTTCTCGACCGGTGGCAGAAGTGGAGCCGATGGATCATGTCCCGGAGGTTAAGGACCAGCACGATCACGGCGAGTATCAGCCTTCACCCTCGATGGACGAGCACCCTGGCACATTTTCACATCAGGCTCCCGTTTGGTTCTCCACGTTCCAGGCTCGGTATGGTGAGAACCAGACCCGGAATGACGAGCAGAACTGGGCCATCCACTCTGCGATGTCGTCGCACAATGTGCGGATCGAGTCATACATAGAGCCGAATGAGGCCCGTTGGAAGTCCTTTTTGGATACTAATGACGAGCATTGGGCGGAGCAGAAAAGGGAGTGGAACGAGTTCAAACAGAGCAACGAGGCGCACTGGACGGCCCACGACACTCGATGGGACACTTGGGAGGCACAGCAGTATCAGCACCCACCACCGCCACCATCGGACGCAAATGACTTGTCACTGTGCTTTGTACGTTTTTCCTTCTCTTTCTCTTTTATTTTTGTATAGCTTCTTTGACTTCGAGTCGAGTTCATTATATGTTTTACTCTCCTTTACCGAGAATTGACAATGGGGACATTGTCCGATTTTAAGTGTGGGGGAGTTTTACGTGCTTACGTGACTATGTGGACCAGGTCTAGTTTTTCTTATTAGGGTTGCTTTTATTTTCCTTTCTCTTTCTTGGTGGACCGGTCTAGTTTTTAGGATTATTTGTTGTGTCTTTCTGAGCTTGGACGTTGGTGTATGACAAGATTAGTTGAGGATTGATTGATTGAGTTAAGAAGTTGTGATAATGAGAATGAGTGGCATACCTTGACTAACTTGCTTTGTTATTGTGGATGACATTATCTACCTTGTGAGGCTTGAGCCATATTCGTTTCTTGTGAGATGTTGGTCTGAAATTTATTCAATTAAAATTTGCCTTGAGTCTGCTTCGAAATGAATTGATTGGATTTGTGAAACGTGAAAATGATTGAGGCATTCCTTGTATTTTCTTCTCCTTTTCTTTTCTTTGAATAATAATCACTAGTCACCCCCTTTGAGCCTTATATGATTTTATTGTTAACCTCGTGATGATGATATTGAGTTGTGGGTTGAGAGTTGGAGGTGTTGCTTGATTAAGTTGTGAATTCATTCATTTGATTTGTTATAAATAAAAAAAATAAAAAAAAATATATATATATGTATATATATATATATAGGGGAAGCCAAATGGATTATACTCCTAGCGCTCCGTCCACTAATCTAGTGGATACGAGCCATGAGTACGGGAAACCGGTCTAGGAGACTCGAGCAGAAAACTCGAAAGATAAACCTAGATAAGATGTCCAAATGGTTTTCGCAAAAAAA